CTTCAAACGTCTGGAGCGGGAGTTGAATAGAGTTCCCAATCAAGAGATCTTAGAGCATCAGAACAAACGACAGATTGAACTCAAATGTCTTCAGCTCACAGAGGATATGGAGAGCCAGGGGTCAGTAGTCCATCACTTGCCATACATTCCTCTTAAGCACTGACGTAATAACCGATTACTAACTCATTTGTTGGTGTCTTAAGCTATTCGGACGGAGAGATCGAGAGAGTGGTTGACAGCCGTCGCAGAGAATGGACTCAAGATATGCATCAGAAGAAGAACTACAGCGGGAAGAAGGAGTGGATTATGGATAGAGAGGGTTCGCCACAAAAGTAAGACACCGTTTGTTGTTGTCTTTGATATCTGATTGAGTCTAAGAATCACTTATTTGATGGTTGCTCTCAATGAATGGTTTTACTGCTAATGCTTACAAAGTATATGAAAAGTGTTTTAAACAATTAGCAATTAATTGAATTTTGCCGTAAAGGCAGTCAATGCATGCAATAAATATACAAAAAAACGTATTCAGACTGCAATAAAATATAAATATCTCAATTATTGTATATTTAAAATAAATATTTTGAAACATATAATGTGTTTCATTTGAAAACGGATCGGTTTTAACCTTTTGGTTTTGTTTCGGTTCATAAAATGACCACAATTTAGTGCCTCTAATTCTAAGTGTTGAGTCAATTGTGTTTAGTTTGGTATTCAATGAAATTATTTTTATTTTATTTATAACTTAATAGACTTGAAATTAGCTATTAATAATTAAGTTACTTGATTCACTTGATGCAAAAATAATAATTGGTCACATATAGTATTACAAGTTATCAATTACCGGTAATCCCGTAATATAAATTTTCTGAAACTTTAATTAAACTTTTCTACTCTATTGTCAATAGACTATTGAAATAGAGAGAGAGAGAGAGAGAGAGTTTACGACTTCGGTACTGTATATGACTTTAATTGAATAGAAATGCAGTGTATTTGCAATGGAG